GGTGGGGCAGCCATTGACGGAGCAGGGGATGGGGATGGGGCCTGTTTGATTTGGAGGCCGATTCGTCATCAGCCGAATCTCTGAATCAGATTCGGCCGAATCAATTTGGGACAGTGATTAAAATCACTGCATCATATCACTAGTCCACGAATCGGCCAAATCCAAAGCGAATACTAGTTGATTTGCACAAGCTTACTAACCATGCAACCATTGTATGCTCTTTGGAGCATAGAGGGATCTTTAATCTCCTGGAAAATCTTCCAGTGAAAATACTGACAAATGAGACTACTGTTAGTCCAATTAATAAATGTCAAATGCGTTTAAACGAAGATTACTTTAGTAACAGGACAGGAAGGGGGCACCTGTATCATCTAGTCCAGTTCCTTGCTATAGTCAGTAGATGTCATGTTGCCTCTTCCAGAATCTCATCCAGCTGCATCTTAAGGATAGGGTTTTTTTTGCCTGTGTACTATTGTTTGAAGAGTGTCCTGGAACATCATTCCTCTGATCATTAGAAATATTTTTTTATTGTCAGCCTCAGTGTGCTCATGGCCAATTTATACCTATTTGTTCTTCTTCCAACATTGTCCTTTAGCAAAAAGTTCTTTACCTCCAGCCTTAATGTATTTGACATGGAGCAGTCATCCTCTATCAGCCTTCATTATGCTAGGTAAAAACAAGTCAACTTTTTAAAAAATCTTCTCATAATACAAGGGTTTTTTGGTTCTGTTTAGCATCCTGCTTAACTTCCTGAACTCCTAGGTATTCTTGTTGTCAATGAAGAGTTTTCAACATGAGTATATATACGTCTTAATACCTGCAACATGGGTGGAAGAAGGAGGTAGGATACAGTATTGGTAGAACAAGTTAAGGTAAGACAACCAGTTCTCTGAGACTGACTTGTAGCAGTTCAATATTTTGCAAAGATAGGTTGCTGAATCCCAGTTCTTATCTCTTACCTTTATTTGCCATATATTTTAAACTGTCACTAAATCAGCTTGGGGTCCTCTTATAATAGTGAAAAGCTTTTCCTTGCAGGCTTAATTTCTTATTCTCTGGAATGTGCTGTTCTTTTCAATTTATTTTAGGGTTTTAAAAGGGATCTGTTTGCTGCACTAGTGCATATATTTTAAGGCCTTGGGACCCTGGAATAGAGGCAGGGGGCTCAAGCCTCCAGCTGCAGAAGGAGTTGGGATGGGGGGGAGCAGGATGCTGCTGCAAGAAAAATGTCACTGCCAAGAACCAAGTTAACCCTTTCTTGGTCCTGAAACCACTGCAGATTTATATGCCAAGCAAGGATCCAAAGCCCTGAATTCTGTGGTGGCTGCAGGGCCATGGAGGGGTTGACCTGGCTCTCCCTGGTTTTTGCTGCCAGCTGTGCTTGTTATCTGGTAGCTGATTTTATTTGTGAAGGCTGAAGTGAAAAAGGAATGAAATGTTTTGGTCTTTTCTGAATTATCTGTAGCTAGATTGCCTTCTGAGTTCTGTGAGGGGCTTATGGGTTCTCTGTTCTTCCTCTTACTTTTGATGTACTTGTAGAATCCCTTTTTGTTGCCTTTTAGGTTGCTTGCCTGTTGCATCTTCAATTATACCTTGGCCTTAATTTTCTCCCTGCACACCTGTGTGATATGCTTAAACTCTTCCCTTGTAATATGACCAAGTTTCCACCATTTGTAGGGTTGCTTTTTTGAGTTTCAGTGCATTGAAGCGATGGTTGTCAAGCCAGGCTGGACTCCTGTTGCACCTCCCATTCTGCTCTTGCATTGGGATAGCTTGCTTCTGCCCCCTTGAGAGGGTGTCTGTAAAGTACAGCCAGCTCTCCTGGACTCCTTTTCCCTTCAGACTCACCTCCCAGGGGATCCTGCCTACCAGTTCCCTGAGTTTGTTAAAGTTTGATTGTTTTGAAGTCCATTGTCTTAATTCTGATGCTTTTTTTCCCTCTTCCCTTAGGGTCTTGAACACCGTCATTTCATGGTTGCTGTCACCCTAGTTACCTTCCACCTTCATGTTCTCAACCCATTGCTCCTTGTTTGTGAGCAGTAAGTTGAGAAGAGCTTTTCCCTACTCCCCTATCCCCAGTTGGCTTCTCCATCACCTGCACCAAAAAGTTATCTCCATCACACTCCCAGAATTTGCAGGACTGCATGTTCACTACTGTGTTTCCTTCCCAGCAGATGTCTTGATAATTAAAGTCCCCCATAAGAGCTAAGTCCTGTGATTTGGAAACTTCCATCAGTCGTTTAAAGGAGATCTCCTCCACCTCCTCCTGGTTTGGTGGCCTACAGCAGGTGGCCACCATGACATTCCCCCCCACCTTTTGCTGCCCTCCCTCTCTGACCTTTACCCAGAGGCTTTCAACAGACCTACCTATTTTTTTGAAAGACACTGGGGTTTTTTACTGTAGTCTGGAAAAAACTTTGTGGATTTTCTTTCTAAACAAGTAGGTTTGCAGTACAGAAATTCCTGACTCTCCCAGTCAGCAATGATTTTTTTTTTTAAAGGTTTTGCTGTCATACCACAGGACATTTTTTAGTTTACTTGTTGGAGGTATTTGGGATAAAACCTGGAATATTGCCAATTTCCATCTTTGCATGCAAATTATAAGTTTCCTAAATCAGAAATTAGAAATCAATGTTATACTTTTACATGCAGTTTTTTGGATTCATATCCTTATTCATGTGCGTATAAAGGCTTCCACGATTAGTCATATTTCTGTATCAAAGGGAATAGAAAGTCTCTTTGGCTTGTGTTCAAAGGAAGTGGTGGTTTTTGTCCCATTCTTATCGGTGTGTTGAAGTGCTAGATTTAATTGTGGTCAGCACTCCCTGTTAGATGTAGCAAAGGTAGCCCAATATATTCTATTGATAATGCTTGAATTCCACCTTATGACAGTGTTCTCAAGTTGTATGGCTTAGGGAACATACTCGTCATCCAAAAAAAAAAAAAGAAATCTACAATTTTACCTCTTTGTTTACTGTAGAAAGAAGGCAGTTCCCTAAAACCTGCAGCCCACGCCTTCCTGATTAGTCCCTCAGACAAACATACTTTGAATGAGTATTTGAATAAGTGAATTGAGGGCCTTCTATGAGAAGCTTTGTTATCTCTGAAAGTTTAAATGTGGCTTGAGTGCCTAAGCTCACCACTTTCATAAAGCTTTTGTTGCATATGGAAACAGCTTTCTCAGGTAGTAGGGACCCATGCTGAAAGAACGTAATCCTAATTGCACTTTGTCAGTAAAGACACCAATTTAGTTAGGTCTGAGTAAAGTAACTGCTTTTGATTTCTGGCAATTTCACAGAGGAGGTTGCAAATTGAAAACAAGTCTTTGGGATGCTGGAACAGATGACAGGCTCGAATTTTGTAGTTAATTTTATTCTTGAATACTTTTTTTTTTTCCTTGGCAGAAGTGATTTTTTTATGTTTTGTTATGTTTCATATCAAGCACTTAATTCTGGAAGAATAATTGAATTCAAATTGTATTCATATTTTGGGCTTTTTATTAATCTAATTAATTTTAAGAGTCACATGTCTTTACTTGTACCATGTAGTCAGCTAGCCTGGTGCTCATTATGGCCACTACCACTTACTTCAGAGCAGGAAGCTAGAAGTCTAGTAAAGAACAGTTATGAAATATAGAAATTAATAATTCTGATCAGTTAGAGACAATTTTATAGTTCTTATTATGTTGTCCCATCTAATATCATTATGAATGTTCTATATTACAGAATTGTGTAATCCTCATAGTCTTTTAAAAAAAAATCTTTATAAAAAACTGATATCATATTGCCTTACTATTTAAATTCATGCAACTTGATCATATAAGAAAGAAGTAAACTAGATGGATAATTATACATTTTAGTTATACCTCTTTACCTTTCTTTCTTCACAGCTATCAAGTGCAAACCCCGTGTATGAGAAGTTCTATCGACAGGTATGTATTTTCTGGCTTACCCATTTGCTTTACAATATCTAGCTCTGTTTAAAAAAAACAAACAGTGAAAACTTTGTGCTCATGTGTGACTGCTGTTGGATGGTCACATTAGATGTGAAAGTAGAATATCTTTTTGTCACAGATGATAGAGTAGGGCCAGCAATATATAACTTTATAGAATTGGCAGGACGGTTGCTCGTGCTTTTAAAATGCATTGTTAACAATGGGGTAAAGGCTTTGGACCAGGTCCACTCTCTCAAAAATTTAGAATCTGGCTGTTGGATGATTTTTTACTTATTTTAGTAAGTAAGAAATTGAGATCATACTAGGCCACGTAAGCATGATACAGACATGGAAGTCTATTACAAGGAACCTACATGAGCTGCAGTTTCTTGGCTGGCTTTGTTAAGGGTTGGAAGTAAACAGGAGAACACGTAGCAGTAAAGCTGTACATTTTTTTTCCCTTGATCTGGGTATTTCCCTGCTTATTGGCCTGAAATGAAGTGAATTATTAATTCTCTATCTCTGCTATTGGTTTAAAAAAATCAGGCTATTTTGTTATGTTCTGATATCTGGGTATATTGGATTCAAAGGAATTGATGTAATTAACTTGGAGAATTCATAATTTCTTCTTCTTTAATTATCCCAGCCATTTCTTACTACACTTACCCCATAAGCATAGAAAGAGAGTGAATAAAAGTGCTGTACCTCACCGGAAAGACTGCTGGAGAGAGTGAAATCTGACAACCACTGCCTAACTCATCTAGTGTATTCAGAATTGAACTTGATCTTTGACTTGGTGTCATTTTTTTATTATATCATGCACTGGAGATCCTATCACCTTTTCTGGATTGGGTGGAGTCAAGTAGTGGCTGTTTTAGATAATACTTTACTTTGAGAGGTGCTGGGGCCAGTCTGCAGGCTGGATAGTACCGTGTTGCATGCAATTTGCAGGCCCAGCCTGTGGGCCAAATCCAGATGAGCCTCAGACCAAAACAGCATGTGGGGCTGTTTTGGTGTGGGTGTCACATAAAGCCTGTGCTCCAGGTCTGGTCCTGCATGCTGTGTGAAGTACTCACCAGGCAGGCTCTGTGTGCTGGGTCAGGGCTGGCACATCTTGCATGCAATGCAAAAGGCCAGTTGGAGAAATGCAGGTAGCACCATGGTCTGGATGACAGAGCTATGTTGGATGGATCTAGCCTGCGAGCTGGATGCAATTTTTCAATTATTTTTTAAATCGATTTAATCTGTTCTGTTCTATGAATAATAATGCATATTAGAGACATTTCATAGATTTCATAGACATTTGGGCTGGAAGGGACCCCGGAGGATCATTGAGTCCAGCCCCCTACCCCAGGGGCAGGAAGTCAGCAGGGATCATAGGATCCTAACAAGATAAGCATCCAAATGTGTCTTGAAGGTGTTCAATGTGGGTGTTCGAACCGCCTCCAGCAGCAGTCTATTCCAAACCTTGGGGGCTCGGACAGTGAAGAAGTTCTTTCTTATGTCCCGCCTGAATTGGTCACAGTGGAGTTTGGGACCGTTTGATCTTGTCATCCCTTGGGGAGCTCTGGTGAACAGATGTTCCCCCAGATCCTGATGAGCACGCCTGATAAACTTATAGGTGGCCACCAGATCGCCCCTGAGCCTGTGCTTTTCCAGGCTAAAGAGCCCTATTGCTCTCAGCCTCTCATCATAAAGTCTGTTTTTCTGATCTCTGATCATGCGTGTGGCTCTCCTCTGCACCCTCTCAAGCTTCTCTGCCACCTTTTTGAACTGTGGAGCCCAAAACTGGAGGCAGCACTCCAGCTGCAGCCTCACCAAGGCTGAGTACAACGGGAGAATGATGTCTCGGGATCTGCTTGAGAAGCATCTGTGGATGCAAGCCAGCGTTTTGCTCGCTTTACTAGCTGCAGCATCACACTGAAGGCTCATGTTCATCTTGTGGTCAACCATGACCCCCAAGTCCCTTTCATCTGTAGTGCTAACCAGCATAGCACTACCGAGCCTATATGCATGGTGCAGGTTTTCCCTCCCATGGTGGAGAACCTTGCATTTTTCAGTGTTGAACACCGTCAGGTTCTTGTCTGCCCATTTTATGAGTCTGTCCAGATCCGCCTGGATCACCCGCCTGTCCTCAGGTGTGGATGCTTTACTCCAGAGTTTGGTGTCGTCGGCAAACTTAGCCAGTTCGCTTCTGATCCCAATGTCCACATCATTGATAAAGACGTTAAACAGTGCAGGCCCTAGGACAGAGCCTTGTGGGACCCCAGTGGTCACAGCGCACCAAGATGACTGGCTTCCATCGACCAACACCCTCTGGGTCCTGCCACGGAGCCAGTTCCCCAGCCAGCGGATCGTGGTGACGTCAAGGCCGCAGTTAGCCAGTTTAGCCAAGAGGTGATCGTGGGATACCAGGTCGAAGGCTTGTGTTGTTGATTGAGAGTGTTGTGACTACTGTGTCATGAAATAATATAAAAATATATGAAAATGAGAAGCCTTAAAATAAAATTCAAAATGAAAATTTTAAATTCTGAAATGAGAATGTTTGTTTTTCTTTGGACACACTTTTGCAGGGATCTAATATAATCTATATGATTTTAAAAAATGGTTTTAATGAAATACATTTCTCTGTTAAATAGCTTCCAGAGAAATGTTCTGATTAGCTTTAGTCTAGAGGTGACACAGGTAGAATGATTATGATGAGAGATGCCACGGGGGAAGAAAAACAGCAATTTCAAGCTAGCCAAAGGTGGGAATAGATTAGATTTAAAATATTTACTGGTTGTATAATAGCTGGAGAACTCCACGTGCTAGTGAATTAGTATGGGATTCTAACGTGGGATTCTAGTATGGGATGTCTGAGGGATGCTCCCTATTAAGAACTTCAGTCTTCTATACATCTCCACTGCTGGGAGGAGGGAGAAGACTGATTTCTATGAAGTTGCCATCTTTGGACCTTACTCAGGTCTTAGAAACTCATTTTCGTATGTCCCCTGTTGACTGGTAGGTATTTGATTCATCTCCTATTTTTAATCCTTGATATTATTTGGAAGGGGAGAGGTTTGTCTCTTTTTGCTCCTCTCCTTACTCCCAAAAGGATGGATTTTCATTACTTACCTCTTTTTCTCCTTGCTCTATATCTTTGATCCAGTAAGTTGTAGGGTAGGCCATTAAAGGAAAGAGATGGTTCACCTTGACTGTGTTAGGATTGGCTCAGAAATAAACTTGAGATAAACTGACCAAAGTTTAGTCGGGATTGCAATACTTGCTCACTTAAACTCCATTGAAAAACAAATAAGGGTGTGTCCACTTTAGTGTATGTGCAGTAGTCAGTTAATTAGGAGACTCCCATATTATAGAGATCATGAGGACAGAAGAGATTATCTGCACACTTGTTGTGTTTACCAGATCAATACATCTTGATAATTTTACTGCCAAGCCCAAACAATAGTTCAGATAAAAAAAAAAAATCCCAGTATTGTTGGTTCTCTAACTCTTTACCCACTGATTTGAGAATTCACCTGCTTTCTAATTGACTCTTACTTTTCTGAAGTACAGACTTGTCCTACTTCAAGAGACGTGAACATCATAATTATTCTCTGTTCCCCATTCTTAAACTAGTGGTGTTTTGAATATCCTGTCAGACAGCTCTAATTTGGAGTCAGTGAATTATACAGAAAACAAGTGTAATAGATCACTTCCCTTTTAGAGTAATTTGAACTTGAACTCTTAAAAATAAGTATATAAAAGTACTGCATTAAAAATGAAAGCACTAGGTATGTTTTAGCTTCTTTCTGGGGCTTTTTCTTTTTGATTGGTAATTGATTAGTAGTTGAGGACTAATCTAACTCAACTAATTAGTAGTTGAGTACTAATTGTAATTAGTAGTTGCTTAGAATATTATTTGGAATTATCTTTTTAATATAGGTCTTGTATATGTGATAGAAAGCTCATTCAGAATTTTTTAATAATTAGATGTAAATATTACTTGTACTGAGATAAGGCTGAAGATGTATGCTGAATATCTTAAATGTAGCTAAGATTTTATTTTAATTAGTTGACTTAATGTTTAATATGAATATACTACAGCTAAATGTATGTGTAAACTGGAATGGAAGTGTTTTCACCACAGGGGAATATACTGTTAAGGTGTAT